ACACAGACACACACACACACACACACCTCTTTACCCAACGGGATGATGCAAGGAAGCGGGTCGACTTCTGTGCACTGACTTTTATCTGTACATTAAGCTTTGGAATGGCCTGGAATTATAGCAATACTGAATATATATATATATTTAGATACCCAGAGTCTTCATGTGGCACAGAGTAAGCAGGCTCAGACCTTGCTTCCCCCCATATAGTACACTTGTAAGGGTGCCCCTCAGGGTGAGACACACACACCCCTCCTGCTTATGTGCAGGGCTTGGTGGGAGGGGTGAGGTGGCCCTTAAACCACCGCCTCCTCCCCCCCCCGTTTTGCTGCTGCCCAAACAGCCCCAACCCGCCAGGGGAGACGCTGCGTCCATAGATTAGCATGTTTTACATTCTTGTCGTTCTCCGCCTTGGCTAATAAATGTTGGGTCGTTATCGCTGTCAGGATCAATTACGCCCCTGTTGGGAGAACGGGGGACACGACCCGAGCCGTGGTTCCTTTCCAGCGCAGTTAATGAGCCCACAGCCCCACAGCTGGACAGATGTGACAAACGGCCCTCGTTAAGGTGGCCGCAGGGCCGGGTGGCGCAGGGCGGCTGGGCGCTTTCCCACGGGTGGCGGGACAGCCCTGAACGGGTCCCCAGAGGCGGGGGGGGCTCCCCAGAGGGTTGGGGGGGTCTAAAAGGCACCGAGTGGTGGTCGTAGTGGAGGAGGGTGTCAAGCCTGTCCAGTGGGGGAGGGGCAGCCAGCATCCTCACTGTTACTCCTAGCTATGCTGGGGGCTCCCCACCGCCACCGCCACCCATGGAGCAGGAGAGTGGAAGTCATAGTCCTTCCAACCCAGGAGGGATTGGGGGGGCCATTCGGGGGGGGTGTTGGAAGAAGAGTCCGTTCCTGGACTTCTGGGCTGAGACGGAGTCCTCGAAGGCGCGGTGGCCGTCCCTCAAAGCGAGCAGGTGGGGGAACGCCTTGTCCCTGGGGAAAAACGGATCTTTTCCGCGGCTCTCCTCCCTGAGGGTCTCCTGCGTGTGGGACTCCATGCGGTGTCGTGTGATCAAACATGCCTCCCGCGGCTCTCCTCCCTGAGGGTCTCCTGCATGTGGGAACTCCATGCGGTGTCGTGTCATCAAACATGCCTCTATTTCTCTCTCTCACACACACAGAGAGAGCCCCAAAAATAGAACAGCTTTTCTGCACAGAAAAACCGCCGGCTGGTGTTGCCGCCTCAGCTGCCCGGATCCCACAGCAGGAAAGGCCGGCATTGGTGACCTGCCCGAGAGCAAGCAAATGGGCACCATTGTGGTGTCGTTCTTGCTCCTCCAGGGGTGGGCCCTTAAGCGGAGATGGTGCTGTTACTGGCGGGAGAGCCCTTCCGTGGCCACTGTTCTCACGGCCGGCCGGCCGCGCCTGGTGGGGGTGATGCCCTCTCACCGAGCGGGGTCCCCCTTATCTCTCCCCTTCGCCCGGAACAAAGGGACACTCTGCATCCGAGCAAGGTGTCCTGGCCCGGAAAGGTCCTCACAACGGCTGCTCTACAAATCTGCTCCTTGTGACGCCCCTTCTTGTGAAAGCAGAGGCAGGAGGCCCCCCAGGAGGAAAGCCGCCTGCAGGCCCCCCCCCCCGGCCCAGCTTCCCGGACCTTGTTTCCTGCCCTGCTTGTCTTCAGCCTTGCATTAAAATAGATCCTGCTGGCAGGGAAAAGGGAAACATAGCCACCGTTCTCTCCCCCCCCCCCTTGTGATGAGGGGCAAACCCCACACCGATTATTTCTTAATTGTTTGCTGTAAAGTTATGTTTTTCTGCCAGGCGTCAGTTTCCCAGCCCAGGTGGCGGTGGGCGGGAGGCCTTCCTGGTGGTTGTTTGTGTTTGCCTGCCTTGAAGAACAGAAGGGAAAGGGGGGGTGGGAAAGCCGGGGCTGTGATCCAGAAGGGAACCAGCATTTGCACGGAGGCTGTGGGTGTGTTTGTTTGTGGAAGGGGTTCCCCCTGGCAAGCCCCCACTCACGGGCACCCCCCACCTGTTTCTCTGTGGTCGTTGGAGTTTTCTGAAGAGCCCCCCCCCTCCTTCCCTGTCTGGTTCTCCTCTTCTCCATCTGATTCTCTTTCTTTCATCCGCCCGTCTCAGCGCTCAGAAAAGTTCCTCTTTTTGAAAAACAATAGTTTTGAGACACCTACACACAATCACACTGTTGTGCCGACAATCATCAAGCTTGCCTGAGGTCCTTCAGAAAAGCCACCCGTGGTGTTCAGAAGTGAGAGCTGGACCACCAAGAAGGCTGGCAGCCGAAGAATTGATGCTTTCGAACTGTGGTGCTGGAGGACCCTGGACTGCAAGGAGAACAAACCTATCCATCTTGAAGGAAATCAACCCTGAGTGCTCCCTGGAAGGACAGATCCTGAAGCTGAGGCTCCAGTACTTTGGCCATATCATGAGAAGAGAAGACTCCCTGGAAAAGACCCTGATGTTGGGAAAGGGTGATGGCAAGAGGAGAAGGGGACGAGAGAGGACGAGATGGTTGGACAGGGTCACCGAAGCGACCAACATGAATTTGACACAACTCCGGGAGGCCGTGGAGGACAGGAGGGCCTGGCGTGCTCTGGTCCATAAAGGGGTCACGAAGAGTCGGACAGGACTAAACGACTAAAAAAGCAGGAGAGCCCCTCCTAGAGGAACAAAGCTGTTGATGGGCAGAAGCATTTGGGGGGAGGTCCCCCCATGGCCCGAGGGTGTTGCCCCCATGCAGGTGATCCTGTGCCCCCCCCCCCGATGGAGAGGAACACAGACCTTCCTTCCTTCCTTCTACCCATCACCAGCTTGCTTCCTTCCTTCCTTCCTGTCGCCTGTCTGCCTTCCTGCCTTCCTGCCTTCCTCCTCCTCCTCCTCCTCCTCCCCGCTGATGCCTCTGGCTTCTTGGCTGTTCCTCCTGCTTCCTGGAAGGGATCCATCTGTTCTTTTTAATTTCCCCGAGGCAGCTGGAAGGAAGGCGGGGAGATTAACCAGGAGCTTCTGCCTTCAGAATCAAGGGGGCCCTGGGGGCTCTGCCAGCTGCCCTCGCGCCCCTAGAGCCACCCTGGTTTGCTGGTTTAAGGAGCCTGGCCCCCTTCCTTTGCTGTGATCTGCCTCCCCCCCCCCGACTTCCCACCCTCTGGGCCATCCCAAACTTCTCCTCCCCGACCCCCCCTTCCGGCTCTTTGACCTCTTTGTCTCTCTTCTGTGCCCATCGCAGGGTGGGCGCTGGGGGATGGGGGGCAAGAGAGGAAGGGGGCCGTCCGAGGCTCAGCAGGAGCTCCGGCCAAGAGGCCCCACCCGGGAGGGGCCCCCATCCCCTTCCTGCCTCTGGAGAGCCCAGCTCTTGCACACACACATACACACACAAACACACCCCGCTTGGTCCTGCACAGTCTCTGCTTCAGGCTGGATGTCCTGGGTGGCTGCTGCCGGTCCCAGCCCCTGTTTGCCCCCGAGGAGTTCCTTCGGATCGTGCTGATTGAATGTGAGGCGACAAGGCACCAGGGCGCTCTCCCTCCATACGGCCGCTGTCCCTGGCCACAGCTGGGGGGGGGGTGAGAGAGGGTGTGCTTTTGTGGTTGATTGTTCTTGACTTGTCACTTCACAGCACAGTTGGCGATGGAGGCGCCGGGAGGCATTTCCCCGGGTGCGTTGGTGGTGGCGGGAGGTGAGCCAGCTGTGCGGCTGCTGCTCTCTTGCAGCAAAAAGGACAGAGAACCGGGTGGCCCCTGGAAAAGGAGATCCGTTCAAGGAGCACGTCCTGGGCAAAGGGGGGGGGCTTCCTCTCCGGGTGGTGGAGCTGAAAGAGGGACCCCGGAAGGCCTTCTAGTCCAGCCCCTTTTGGGATCACGATGGGGTCTCTCTCTCTCTCTCTCTCTCAGAGAGATGCAACTGTTCTGCATAAAAGCAAGCTTTTTTGATTTTTGATTTGTTTTCCTTTTATTGCATATGTCGGAAGAGAGGGAATCTGCACTCCCTCTTTGAACCTCCTTTTTGTGTGTTTGTTTGTATTGGTTCTCGGCTGTGGGTTTTGTCTTTTCATCGGAGCTTTGATCTCCGTTGTGTGATCCTGCAGGCTCCTCTTGTATGTGAATTTCTGTGTTTTATGCCGGTTCGCCCTCCGGTGCGTCTCTGCATGCAAATGTATCCTGCTTAGATTATTCTGCTCCAAACTCACCTCAGTTTTAATCCGGCTTCTGGATAAACTCAGCATAATCTTTCCAGGTTCTGACATTTTGTTGAGGCCTTGTTTCCTCGGGCGCCTTTTCCTGTCGGGACATCGCCACTGATTCTCCGTAGACTCCAAAGACTTGTCCATCAGGTTTTATCCAGCAGGAGCCTTCAGGGCCCACAGTGACCCAAGGCCTTCGGGCACAGCGGAGAGAAGATCATGCCTTCCGATATGGGAACCGCGTTGCTTAAAGCAGCCGAGAGATTTGGGACCCCCAGCAAGCCCCAACATATTCCCCCCTGACCTGGGTTTTCGTGGAGATCTTCCTTGTCAGTGCAAGGTCCTGGTGAAGGACACTTTTCGGAGCGCTCTAGCCTGTCACCCAGAACACGAGAAGGCCGCCAGGTGCTGGGCCTCCCCCTTGGTGTCATCCTGTCCCGGTCCCGATCCGGGAAGGCACAGCCATTGAAAGGGCAGGCTGGCTGGCTGGCTCCCAAGGCAGCCGGCCTTCCCTCTGGTGCCCCCTCTCCCTTCGTGTCGTCTGCTCGGACACGTAGCCCTGAGCCTGCCGGGAGCCTTTCTCTGGCGCTGAAGGGCCTCCAAGTGGCCACACCAGCGAGGGGCAAAAGGGGCTGCGTGGGGGGGGAGAGAGCGAGCACTGCGGCGAAAACACGTCGCGGCTTTCCTTGTGCTGAATGGGCAGTGTCTCGGAGGTATTGTCTCAGGTGGCTGAAGGAAACCTTTCAGGGAGAAGAGGGGGGCTTGAAGGCAGGGCGGGGGGTGTGCTTACACACACACACACACACACACACACACACACACACACACCCCTACCTGGACTCTGGCTGGACGAGCGCCACTCTCAGGGGAAACGGGGCACCAAGGGCCATGCTCCCTCTCAGGTTGCTTTCGTGCCCAAAGGGTAGGGATGATGGAAGAGGATTGGCGCTCAAAACCTCTTTCAGGGAAAGAGAGACGTCAGCCTCTCCTTTTCCTGAGGGGTCCAGAAGGCCAAGAGCGGGTCGCAATTGGGTGTGGTGCGGGGGGGGGTGCCGACGCAGGCCTTTTTTTGCAGGCGGTCATCCACATGGGCAGCGGTCCCTTCCTTCCTGCAGGCGGCCTCCAGTTGTCCTTGCGTGTTGCTCTCTCTCCGAAGTGTTGGGGGGGGCTTTGAGTGGAGGCTGCGGCCAGGGAGCGCTGGGGGGGGGGACAGTAGTGGGAACGCAGCCAAGGCTCTCGGTGGGGCCTCCAATGAAGCCTCCCCTGCTTTTGTCATCATCCTCATGACAGGCCTGGCCCCGTTTTGACACTCGCTCCCTCCCCCTCGTAGGACTCCACACGAGTCCATCTGGTGCTTGGCACGTTGCACGAGGCGCTGGGCTCTGTCCCCATCGCTGGGGGTGGGGGTGGGGGTTGAGATTCAGGCTGTGGAGAGAGCAAAGCATCCTCCCCCCTCCCTTCGCCGCCATGATCACTCTCACTCAGGGGATGTCCTTGGGGGTTAAAAAGTTTTACGTTGTTCCCTCGCTTGCTCGCTTCCTTTCTATCTCTTTCCCCCCCATCCCCATCACACGCTCTCCCCAGACCCCTTTGGGTCTACACCATCCACTCTTCCTGTTGTGCTGAGCTCCCAGGAGCAGGATCCATCCCCTCTTGGCTTCTTGTTGGCCAAGTAGCTTGAGTCCTGTCATTCTTGGGTCTGGAGCATCTGCTATTCCTCATCTGCTGAATCTTGCAATTAGCGTGGGTTGTTTTCGTTTCCAAAGGAGCAGCAATATTAATTTGACACACCTTTTGGCTCCTTGTAGGGGGAAAAAAACATGTTTTCCTTGGTGCAGGAATTCCTGCACTGCCTCCAAAGAAAGTTTAGCCCAGTCCATGAAACCTGAGGACAGATCGGAGCCATTCCTCTCTGAGCAGATGAAGGACTGTGTTTTTTTTGTCATTGGGGCATCGTCTGTGAGGGACCTAGTTTAACAGGCGACCTCTGTGCTCCGAAAAACAGCCACCTCTCAAAGGATGGATTGTAGCCAGTCGAAAGGAAGAGGCCCTTCTTGGAGGAATTGGCCGGAGAGGACAGGAAAGCCCAGGGAGTGACCTTGCTCTTAGGGAGACCTTTGAGCCCCTCGAGGTCGGGAAGCGCCAACGCTGGCTGGTAGCTATGGCTCTCTAGCAAGATCCCCTTTCCTCATCCTTCTCGGATGTCTCTGGTCTTCCCCGGGGATCTCCCACCCAGGCACGAACCAGGCTTAGCTCTGCTTCGCTTCCAAAGTCAGACAAATGCTCGGGTGTGTCGGAGGGGGTTATGCGGGCAAGGCTCGCGCGGGTCCAGGAGCCCTGAAGGACCGCTTCTCCCCCCGTCTGAGCCATCCCTGGGCTTAAGGCCACCCGAGGAGGCCCTTCCCTCCGTCCCATGGCCAGTGCAAGCCCAGCTGATGGGGACACCAGAGGAGGCCGTGGGAGGCTCTCCCTCGGGAGGTCAGTCTCGGGAGGCCGTGGGAGGCTCTCCCTCGGGAGGCCGGTCTGGCCCACCCTGCCTTTTGGGTCCTCCCACCCACCGGCAGCTTGAAGACCCACCTTTCCGGGAAGGCTTTTCTTAGCTCATTCTTAATGTTCTCTTGCTATTACTTATTCAATGGTGTTTTGATCCATGTATAGTTTAATTGTGTTTTTTGACATCATGTTTTCCATTCCGTTCTTTTAATATTGTGAGCCGCCTTAGGTCCCCTTATTGGGAGAAAGACGGCCTATAAATAAAACTAATAATAATAATAATAACAGCAAGGTGCACTTGTGTGTGTGTGCATGCGCGCGTGCACACACACACACACAGAGTACTTAGGGTTCACCCTCACCTGCTCTCTCTCTTATAAATAAAACTAATAATAATAATAGTAACAACAACAGCAAGGTGCACTTGTGTGTCACCCTCACCTGCTCTCTCTCACTCTCTCTCCCCCTCTTCCCCCCCCCCTGTTTCCAGTGTCGACCTGGTCCACGCCCAGATCCATATCTCCGAAGGGAAAAGTCTTCCCGAGCTGGGCCTGAAACAGGACAATGTGCGGGTCAACGGCTGCGCCATTCAGTGCCGCGTGACCACGGAGGATCCTGCCCGCGGGTTTCAGCCGGACACGGGTCGCATTGAGGTAGGACGGCAGTGCCAGCTGCTCCCCTGATATCCTCCCCATGCCCCTAACAGCTCATCCTCCTCTGATGATTCTCATTCTGGCTTGGAAGAAGCAGGTTTGGTTTGCTGGGCAGGGCAGGGCAGGGCATGACCCCGACCAAGGTGGACGTTGGGTTAAGAGACGCTTGGCTCCTGCTGAGTTAGATCACAGAAGCCTTGAAGGTGGTGCTTCTCCCCTTTTTTTGTAAGCCTGGCTTTTGAAATTCCAAATGGCTTGTTCAAACGTTGTGGATCTGTTCAGGTGCAAAGGGTCAGGAGGGAAGGTGAGGGAAGCAAGATATAAACAGACCTGTTGGCAACTCCCTGCCTTTCCTTAAGAGGTCAAAGAGGCCGGTTGGCCAGAGGAGGAAGGAGGCAGAACGAAACCTCAGCCTTGTGTTGTTTGATGCCCTTGGCTTTCTTTGCCATTAAGGTTAGAAACAGAGGCAGATAACAACACAAGAAGTGACGGTTCGGTCTGGCAGCATAAGAGTGTGCGAGCGAGCGAGAAAGGGCCTTGTGGTCTCCTTCGGGAAGGAGGCAAGGTGGGCCTCTCAGCTCCTGCCAACCTTGGGGTGGTGGAGAAAGGTTCCTACCGCTTGAGCACTCTGCACGAACACACGGGCCCTCTTGGGGCCGGTTTCTCTATAGAGGACTGGGCACACACAAATGTCCTTGTATCAGGATTTTCTGGCAGGCAGGCTCCCCTCATGTAGAAGTGAGTGGAAACCGGGCAATTGTCTGTTCATTTTTGCCTGGTTTTACGGGTGTCTGTTAGGAGAGTGAATTAAATTGCCTTGCGGTATTCTGTCTGCACACCCTCACACGCACCCGTAAGCATTTTGTGAGTCACCTGCCTCCCCTTTTCCATTTCAGCTGTTCAGCTTTCGCAGTTTCCTGTCATTCTGGGTTGTAGCCCACATGTTTTGTTTCCCCCCCCCTCTGTTCCCCTTTGGTGGTCTGGCTCGTGGTTTCCCTCGCCCAGCTTGAGTGGAGGCGGCCTGCGAGGAGGCGTCTTCGCAGGGCGAGACTCGCTTGCCATTCCCACCCACCTGGTTGCTAAAGGGTTCAGAGACCTCCACCACGGATGCCAGAATGGATGCAACAACGTCTCCCTTGCCTTCCTCTCTCCCCTCCCTCGTGGCATGGCATGTCCCCTCCTACCTTGAATTCCTCCCCTCCCCTCCCTCAGAGAGAGCAGGAGGGGGCTCAGGGGGCCCCATTTGGGTGCGGGAGGTTTTCCGAAGGGTGGGAAAGTCCAGGTCTCAAGCCCAGGGAGGGAGGGAGGGAGGAGCCGCGTCCCTGCCGTGCCTGCAGAGCCTCCCACCTTGTGAAACCCTGGAGTGTAGCCATGGCTGCCAGCTGGCTTTGCCCACGCCAGACCGGGTGGGCAGCGGCCTGACTCAGAAGGTGGGCGAAGGGCTGACAGAAGCAGGCCCTGGGGGGGAGGACAACCCTCCTTTGGTCTCGCTTCCAGGTCACAGCAGCTGGGAGTGGCCCCCAATGGATCAGTCTCGTCCAAACCACGGCTGCCCACTCGCCGCCGCCGCCCCCAAGGAAAGAGCCCCCCCCCACCTCCGAATGATCAATCCGCTCCTTCGTCAAGCAGCTCGTATTCTTGGAAAGTTATTCCTAAGTTTTTGTTGGGGCTGGAGATTGGCACTCTGCCAAACGCAGGGAAATGGGTATTAGGGCAAAATGTCAGCCAGATTTATCACGCAGATCAGCACGCGGCCGAAGCAGGAGGGAATATATAAAATCATGCTTCTGCTGTATTTAATGCCCTAGAAGTGAGAGGAAGGATCTAC